AGGACCAGACGGTGCCATAAAGGAATCCTAGATGATGTTTTTTTCATTGTGCACATTAATTACACAGAATTCTGAGTTTTATTGCTGTACATTGGTTCATGCATCTAACAAAATTTGATCAATTTCACTCCCAATATCCCCTGGCCCTCCCCTCCTTACTGCCCTGATCTCTTCTATCTTGTTGGTCTCAATTTTATATCATAAAATAAAAGGTTTTGAAAAATCTTTCAAGTTGTCTGGGTTGTGTTTATCAGTTTCATTAATCAGTCTATTTGCCTGTGGATATTTTATTATATATTGATTCTGTAGCTTCACTCCAAACCATTTCTATCAGGAGTGTCTGTAGGTGAAGGTCTCCAGGGTCCTTTACTACATCAGCTTTGGGAATCACTGCCTTAGAAACCAGGCACTTATCAAATGTCCCATTAATATTGTTTCCAAGAGTACCCACTACCTACATTAAAATACAAACATTTAATGATGCATACTTCAGGCCTGATGTTTTACACACATTTGAATCATGACATTGAATTTGAACGCTTAGTATTTGCAAGATCCACCTGTTCCCCAAAGGCAAATTCTGTCATGAATTTGATGGTTAGATTTTCCTATCAATATTTCCATCTCAGTATTGACTTAGGTCTCTGTAAAAAAATTTTTTTTTTCTAAAACTTACCTAAAAGTTCCTAAAGCTCATGTAAACAGTGTGAATTACCTGTTTTACCTGAAATGTACTACTAGTTTACTAGTTTACTTTGGCATGTGGTTTTAAATCTGTCAAGTACAAATATTAGCCTGAAATGTTTTAGTTCATGCACACAATTACCTGAAAGAGGGGCTTCATTTATCAATGCATTATTAGGACACATTTTTCAAAATTCTTTTGCTTGTCTCCACATCACACTACTGAAAAGTCTCATGCATCATCAGGGTAGAGGATAGTTATGTGACTTTCAACAACTGATGTATATTCAGTTTTACTGCAAAACACCTACATTTGGTGCCCAATTAAAGGTAGGCATTATTATTAATATCCTTAACATATACCATCAACACTTCCTTACAGGGCATCAATTCATAATTCTCTCATAAGGAATCAACAAGGAATTCCATCTTCTCTCAGGAATCACATTTCTATTTCACTCCACTAGAGGAGTTGATGCCTGGGGTGGGAGTCTGGAAATCACCATTTCCATGAGTAGTCATTTACCTGTGGCTGGATGCAGGTGTATGTGACACTCTTCACCTCTATCAACTTATATACCCACTGCTAGGGTAAGAGCACCTGTATCCACATGTCATATAAGTGAAGTTTGAACTTAAAAATGGTTTGGTCATTGTGGTTACTTTTTTAAAAATACAGAATATTATGGGAATAATGAGTTACCGATGAATGTGAATGTCAAAACACTGATACTGGAATGATACGAAGCCCTGACATGTATCATGTCCCAAGTCAAGCCCTTATCTCTAGTTCCATGGGACACTCCTGAAAGGGATTGAAGTGCAGGAGGAAAACTCCAAGTGTCTGAAGCTGCACTGATTATGGTCGAGGTTTGTGAACTAAGAAAGGGTCTCTTCAATATTTAAAGAGCTTTTTATTGTTTAGTCCTCCTCTGGGCCTTACAAGTTATAGGCTCTGGGTAATTATTATTCCTCTCCAGATATACAACTAATATTTATAAAAGGAGAAAAATGAAATGTCTTGTTATAGAAATAGGAGAATGTTCACTTCAGACTGGAGGACATTCTAGTTGTGTGGTATGAAGATTTAACTTATAATACTGATATCTAGATTTTCCCTTTCTTATGATGGATCACAGTAAGAGCAACTGCTTAGCCTGTTGTCTTGCAGCTGTGTGGACTAGGTAGATGTCTGCTCAGATGACAATACTGAGTTAGAGATAATAACACTCTGCCTCAGATTTCAGAAATAAACAGGTGCCAAAAGGAGAGAAAATTAAATTTGTAGCCTCTCAGTTCTATACACTAAATCTTTCATTGTTCCCAAATATTAGAAATTTGAAACACAGATGTAGGCCTTTAACTAAACCTATATGTGAGGAACAATTTTTTAGCTGTTTCTGGTTTCCTAGGAATGGAATCAAGCCCTGACTTCAGGTCTTTGAGGTTGGGTGGGCGGAGTACAAGTTCTCAGGAGGGTGTGCACAGCTGCAGGGATCTCCTGGGCTAGGCAAGAGTCAGGTCTGTGCTGAACCCTCCTTGTCTGCTCTTTCATGATCTGTGCCCATGGGCTGGGGCTGTGCTTCCCACAGAGGATGGCTGGTGTCACCCAATGCTCTGCCCTGTGATCTAGAAGATTAGGGAAAAAAATAAAAGAAAAGAGCCCAGTGAACAAGACATCTCTTCCTGGAGTGAAACGAAATAAAAAGGACATTTGGGTTGTCAAGGGGCATCCTGCCAGTATTTGTAGAGCAAGATGCCCTGTCTATAATCAGACAGGCTGGTGAAAAGAGAACTCACTCTTTCCTACCCCAAAACCTCATGCAAGTGACTAAAAATGCTGTCTCTTTCTATTTATGTAAAATCATAATGTGGGCATTTATAACAACAGAAAAGCTATACAGATGAAATGTAAACAAGCAACATAACTAGTGCCTGGAATTTAAAGAGCTCTCGGGAATGCTCCATGATGTTGTGGTTGGTGTCTTCCTCCTCCTGCTTCCTATGGTCCCCTTACTAACCTTTTGGAGTGCTTATAAAACAGTGGAAAGGGGCCCATTTTCTCCTAGACAGTGAGTGAGCTATCTATGGGAAGAAAGAAAAGCATTAAATAAGATTTTGGGGACCCTGAACATGACCAAGAACACAAACTTCACTGTCCTCAAAGCTAAAATTTTGCATATCGGTGCCTCTTCTCTGGCTACAAAATTGCCTGTTGGTCCTAGTGAGGAGGACCCATAATCCCTCCTCCACCCATCATTTCCCTCAGCACTTACTGGGTGATGCTGGGTCTCTGCTGGGTCATGACCAAGGTCTGAGGATCCAACACATCACCCCTGCCAAATTTCTGCCTGAGGCTTGGACTCGATTCTCAGGATTGATATGAATAAGTGTAAGATAGCAACTTCCCAATTCAGAAAACCACAGTAGGAGAGATCTGATATGTGGAGCCCACTGGACTGGAGCATCATGCTGAAGCCTGGATGCAGGGGAAGTTTTACCTACTATATAGCACGGAGGCTCCATGCTTAGAGCTATAATTAGCTAAATTGGTACATGCTCTCCAAATCTCCAAGGACTTCCTAATATTAGTGGTGGAAGAAAAAGAGTAATGAATGCCCAAAAGGTTGTGGATATTTCCTGCATTCAGCAGAATATTGTCTACAATATTCCCTTCTCTTGGGTCCCTTTATTAACACCTAATTCTACATATAAATGGGATTCTGTGCCATGGATCCCAGTCTCATTATTCTGCAGCTATCAGTGTCATCCATCTGCATTCACATTTCATCTTCTGAAAGTGAACATTTGTGTCCATTTAAAAATCTTCCCATTCCTTCCTCCCCCAACCCTGGCTACCTCTATTTTTGTAGTTTGATGTCTGTAATTTCTACCATGCTGAAACATATTATTTGGGGTATAGACGAAGGGGAGGTCAGCAGAGGGGTGACAACAGTGTGCATCCCTGTAACTGCTGCCCTGTTTTTAGGTGACTGTGATACAGTGGAACCATGGTGCACTCCAAGCTTTTGCCATACAAAAATAGTCACAAGCAAAAAGTCAGACCCAGAAGAGCAAAGGCTTTAGACTTCCCAGTTGATGGAGAAAAAAAAATTATATTAAAAGAAACAGATCTCTGAGATAGGCAGAGACCCAGAGATTGTAGCAAGAAAATGCACGACTACATTATTGGTAAATGTATCAGAACAGAAAAGACGAATTGAGAAGGGTCATAGAAGAAAATGGAAACTTCCACAACCTTGAAGTTGGGAAATTGTAAGACACTCAAATTATGCCACAGTAGTCCAAAAGGCTGATCTAGAAACTCATTCACACTAGGAATGATGAGGGTTCATGATGACTGCATAATGCAGGGGGGATTCTTGTCCTTTATTTTTTTTAATGGTGGTTTGGGGGAAAAAAACAATCTTTGGGCTTCCTTTTTCTCTTTTTCTGCTCATTAAGATCCTTGTGTTAGTCTTTGAATAATTGAACACTGTAGTTATTATTACATGACATCTTAGGACCCAGGAATGAATGACACTGACTTTAAAGGAGGTTTGTATAGCATCTCTTTTGTCTCCTCTTAAGATTGAGCAGGCTGGTTAGAGATCAGAGGAGAACATGGCCAGCTGCAAGAAGAGAGATCTGTGCTGATCACTGTGTATCCGATCTTCATGTGATGGAAATCTGTCATCTATAGTCACCCTTCCCAGAGTTTACTCAGGAGTTGCTGACCATTTCTCTCGCTGTGCTGTACCAGGAACCTCTAAAAGGAATAGCACAGTGAGAAAAGGGTCTCTTTCTGGAAAGACAGGCAAGTGAAACCCCTGGTTGGGTTGTCAAGGAGGCAGCATTCCAAAATTCTCCTGCTGTGATGCCCTGTGTCTATAATCAGACAAACCATGCAAATGTGCCTTATCAATATTCTACCAAACCACCTCAAATTAGCTACATAAAAATGCAGTGTTTCCTTATTTTCTGAATAATAATAATAATATAGAAGCTTAGACTTGGGCAAGTTAATGCAGATGAAATGAGTTATAGAGGATACATAAATCAGATCCTGGCACTTAGGACTCTCTCCAAGTCAGTCCATGACATTAGGGATACTATCATCCTCTTCTTCTTTCTCAGCATTATTTTCATAATCCTTTTGGAGTACATATGAAACCGATTTCAGGGATCCAAATTTTCCTGTTGGGGTTAAGCTATCTAGGGGGAGTAGGGTTAGTATGGGTATCACCATCATATCCAAATACATAAAGTCCACAAAACTCATATCTGAAATGTGCATATTGGTATTCTTCCACCTTTTTAATGCCTTTATTAGTGTGTTACAGTTATACATAATATCTGGGCTCTTTTGATATAAAAACACATGCATGCAATATAATTTGCTCCATTTCAGTCCCCAGTACTTCCCCTTTCCCTTCCCTCTTCCACCTGTTCCCCTTCCTTTACTGTACTGGTCTTCATTTTACCTATTTACATTTTAAAAAGTTTGTTCTCATGAGGGTAACAAATGGTTCCACCCCTGAGCACTTAATGTGTTCTTCAAGTAGGAGAAGTGTACGGTGATCCAATTGCACAGTTGGGAGTCCAGATGAAGGGGTGGAGTCACGGCCTTATTATTTATTGCTGTAAGACCTTGGAGGCCCAACACACAGAGCTCATACTAAGTCATGTTGATATACAAAATTCAAGTCTCAAAGGACTTCCTCATATTAGTGGAGAAAAAAGAGAAAATGAATGTCTACAGTAAGTTTGGGTTCTTCCTACACTCAGGAGAAAGTTTGTGTGTACTATTCACTTCTGATTTTCTCTTTTTCCCTAAGGATCCATCTTCTTTTTACATCCAAACTGAAAATATCAAAATACAAATAAACAGTGGCAGTGATTATAGGTACTTCCTTGTGCAAGCATCACCACCTTCTATCTCCAGGACTATTTCACCTTCCAAAACTGAGACTTTATATCAATTTTTAAAACTTCCCATTCCTCCCCCAGCCATAGAAACCTTCTTTCTACTATGAAGCATGATGAGAAATTAAAGCTATCAAACTGCAAAATATAATGTGACCAATGTGGTAGATTTAATGTCTGGATGTTTAGTTCTGTTGCTGCCAGAACTAAACATGGACGCCACAGGACCTGAGATCACACTGCTCTCCTGTGCAGCCTCCACAGGGCACTTTTAATGTCCTTGTTATTTAGGCTGTAGATGAAGGGGTTCAGCATGGGGGTGACCACAGTGTACATCACTGAGGCCACTGTACCTTTTTTGGTGGAAGATGACTTATTGGAAAAAAGGTACACTCCTATGCCAGTTCCATAAAATAAGCAAACTACTGAGAGGTGAGAGCCACAGGTGGAGAAGGCTTTGTACTTTCCACCTGAGGATGGGATCCTCAGAATGGAGGAAATAATTTTGTAGTAAGAAAAAATTATCCCTATGAGAGGAAGGAAACCATAGATGGCACCAACAAAATACATGAGTATATTTACAGTAAAGGTATCAGAACAGGCAAGACCAAGGACCTGAGAAGGATCACAGAAGAAGTTAGCGATGTCCACGTTCTCAAAGTAGGAAAAGTGTATGGTGATCAAATTGTGCACTTGGGAGTCCAAAAGGCCAAACAAGAAAGACACCAAAACTAATCTGACACAGAGGCGAGGGTTCATGATGACTGCATAATGGAGGGGGTGACAGATGGCTACAAACCGGTCATAGGCCATCAGAGTCAGAAGCAGATCATCCATGCATAGAAAAAGGATAAAAAGGGACATCTGAGTCAGGCATCCCACGAAGGAGATGACTCCGCTATGAGTTTGAATGTTCACCAGCATCTCTGGGACCGTGGTGGAGATGAAACCAATGTCAGCCAAGGACAGGTTGGAGAGGAAGAAGTACATGGGGGTGTGGAGGTGGGGGTCAGAGCTGACAGCCAGGATGATGAGCAGGTTCCCAAGCACTGTGACCAGGTACATGGACAGGAATAGCCCGAAGATGATGGGTTGAAGGTCTGGGTCCTCTGAAAGTCCCAAGAGATGGAATTCTGAGACACCTGTTAGATTTTGTGGTTCTCTAATTCTTGGACACCTTTTGAAACAGAAAAGAGGATTGTAAAAAAATAAGCAATAAACAGGAAACACATATGCAAACAATCCTACACATTCCTTTGTTTTAGAATATTTAAAATAAAGACTGCATTATATCAACACTAAAGTTAAATTGGTTTATATCAGAAAATTTGTTAACAAATTTACCCCAAAGCTATTTTGGCTTCTGGTATTTTTTTTATTTCCCTCATTTGTGAAAGAATCCCTCTATAAAATTTTATTTGCATTTTAAAAAGTTATTTAAAATAGAACATGTATACTCAGCCTGGTAGACTTCAAATTTTGATAAATAAGGTAAATGCACATAAGCAATGTCATCACCAACCTCAAATGTGGGCTTTGTGAGCACTGAACCTATCAATGATGAAACAGCCATGAAATACTAAGTAGCAGACTAGAAATTTATATTTCATGTTGGTTTATTTGTATTGATCCCTTATAATCTCAATAAAATATCTAGTGAGGAAGATATTGTTTGGCTTTAAAAAAACTTCTATTTTCCACTGGTCATTATATTTCCGATCATAAATTCTCCTACATATTGTTGAGAATTTTTGCATCAGGGATGTCCCCCAATCCCAAATATGAGTACTACTCTTCTTATGTCATGTAAGAGAATTTTAATGTCCACACTTCCTGGAACTCGGATGCAATTCTCTTACCTCAGCTACTGTAAGGTGACTCAGAGTTATTTGTTTTATGAGGTCACAATATGATATAATTTATGAAAAAAAAGCAGAAGAGAAAAGTAGAGAAAATAAAGTAAACCCTCCTGGGCCATTTGTTCATGTCTAAAATGGGGACAATAATTACCTAGCTTATTGTGAGACTGCAGAATAGTTTACAATTCTTTTATTTAAATTGCACAGTCTAGTGTTTCTAAGTCTTATTTATCATTGTATTTAGCTATGAATATTTTAAAATATCATGAATCCCTGGCATTGGGCAAACATTAACATAATCAGAGCATCTTCAAGTGAAATTCTTCGTGTTCTTTCCTTAGCCCAGAGTTGAGAGTACTCCCTGGTATTGAGAAAATGCCCTGTTAAGTTTATCTACTATTACTGTCAATAATACCCACTACTTATACTGAAAATAAAGTTAGCAATATGTGCTTCAGAACTAACATTTTAGAGGGATTTGGATATTTGCCTACATAATTTCACTTTCAGGTTTCTTTGTATGATTCCATTCTCCTTCATACCTGTGTCTCCTCCACCCACCCACCCCCCCAAAAAAAACCCTTCACACATGTCTCAGTGGTCATATTTTTTATGTTACTAGAGATGTCAGTACTGATATGTGTATGTGTAAGTTTTGTTCTTGAAGGCGTACCTTAAAAAATATGTCAAGCTTATCTAAGTAGTCTACAACAAACATCAATTGCCAAGAAATGTAAAAATTTACAATGTTGTGTGGATTTAAGTCTCTCTGTCAAGGACATGCAGCTTCTTCAAATAATTCAGCTGATATACAGTATATCTTGAGGGAGGAGCAAGTTTATTATTATAAAATAACTTCAAAAATCCTTGTGCCTCTCTCTCCATATCACAGAAACAAAAATTTACAAATAATATACACATAAAGTTTGGTTATTTGAACCCCATTTTCTATTAATCACCTATATTTAGTGTGTCAATTGAAAATGAGTTCTAGGATAGGCACAATGGCACACTCCTGTAATCCCAGTGGCTCAGAGGCTGAAGCAGGAGCATTGCAAGTTCAAAGCCAGCCTCAGTAAATTAGCAAGGCCCTAAGCAACTTAGTGAAATCTTGTCTCTAAAAACAAAATTAGAAAGGGGTACTGGGGATGTAGCTCAATCTCCAGTTTCAATCTCAGTAACAAAACAAACAAAATCAGTTCTAGTCAAACACAACCTAGTTATAGGTTGTTAGTTTATACTGTCAAAAATATTGCTTATGTCTATCTGGTAATAATCCTTGCAGGATTATTGATCAAGAAACTTCATCTTATAAAGGGAATAATATTTTAATTTGACTCCAGTACAGAACACAGTACTCTGATCTGAGAGTCAGGAAATCAACATTTAATATCGAATCATTAACCTGCAACTATATGATCAATGTGTGCACATCTTTCCAGCTGTCTGGGTGCACACTGCTTAAAGAAATAGGGACAAACACACCCATGTCTTCCACATATAAGCCATGAAAGGAAAGTTTGGAAACTAACATACATTTTGTTATTGTCTTGTCTTTCCAAATAAAGAAATCCAACCTTATGAAAATGGCAAGTTAATTGACTCAAACAACTGTCAAAACCCAGGGAAGCCTGGAATGATAGAACTCAAAAATATGACTTAGCTTAACATAAAGAACACCTGTCTACTTCTCTTTCTCCCTCTTTCCTTTTTAATGCTAATACATACCTCTGCAATTTCCTTTGAGTAATGTAATACTGTAGATGCTGTTAAATAAAAAATGTGAGGGTCATGTGTCCATGAGGCATAAAAGACATAAGCAAGAACTATTATTTCTTGTTTCCTGTTCTTTCTGACTTTCCTGAAAGGGACAAAAGTGCAGAAGGAAAGCACCAATGTTTGAAGCCACACTGATATGGACACATTCTGCGCAAGGAAGCGACTACCCAACATTTAACAGACAGTCCTTTTATTTTTGATGCCTTCTTTTATTTTTGATTCCCTCTACAAACAAGGGAAGATCTGATACATCAGAAATGAAAAAAGAATTTGGCATCTCCTTCCAGATACACAGCCTACACTTATGAAAGGACAAAATAAAATGTCCCATTACAGAAAGAGAAAAACAATAACTTCAAATATCATATTTTAAATTGTATGAACATTAAAATAATAATGATAATAATAATAATAATATCAATTGCCTTTCCTCCTTTTTTATCTATTTATCACATCTTAATCATGCAGGGAATACATATATATATATATATATATATATATATATAACTTACCCTTAATGAAGTTGTATTAATTAGAAATTAACTAAGATATACTGAAAATCTGTCTGTGTCACTGACATAACAGGTGTGAGGGACAGATTCACAATTAATATCTGATGTCTGCGTCCAGAGCAGTAAATGTTTTGTTTTCCAATCAACAGTAAGTTTTAAGCAGATATTCAGAGGTCTCGATGACAGGGATATCTGAGGAACTTCAGAAGACTCTTCCCGGTAGAAGGAAATCAACTCCTTCAAGACGTGAATTTAAGTATCCTTTTGAAGTGGGGTTTGTAGATTACAAAACTGCAGGCGTTTGTGGACAGATCCAAAACACCCTGGAGTGGGTCAGGAGGGAAATCTGTGCTGAACTGTGATTGTCTACCTTTTCTGTGATCCTTGCCTGTGATCTTAGCTACCCCTCTTATATTTGATGCAGCAGGTGCCAGCCACTGCTCTGCCCTGTGAAGGATATAGTGAGCGAGGGGTCTCTTCCTGGAGTGACAGAGAAGTACAATTTACTGTTGGGTTGTCAGGAGGAAACCCAGCAGGATTCTCTTGGCAGGATTCTCTGTGTCTATATTCAGACAGACCCATTCAAAATCTCTTCAGTCTGTTTTACCTAACAGTCTGATAACAGATACATAAAAATTCTTTGTTTTTTTTTTCATTTTATGGAAAATAAAGTGGACACTTACAATTTGGGGGAAACTATGCAGATTAAATGAAATGAAGCAAGCTATAAAAAGTCAGAGCTTGACACTCAGGAATCCCTCAAACATGGTTCATGATGTGATGGTTGCTGCCATCCTGCTCCTCCTCATCCCCTTCATTATTTTTTTGTAGTACTTAGGAAACACTGTTGGGAAACCCATTTAAATGTTCATGGGTGAGGTGTGTCTGGCAAGCACAGCAAGTATAGGAAGAAAGCAAATCTTCGCATGAGTCTTCTGGGACCCAAACACAACACAGAACACTCATCATGGGTATGATTTTTTGTCACTCGACTCCCCTCTGACTACCCACTGTGATGTGTTTGTCCCGATGAGGAGAAAACAATATTTCCATGGTCCTCCCTCCCTCCATCATCTCCCTCAGCACTTACTGGTTTAAGCTGCCTCTCTGTTGGGTCATGACTGAGGAATGCAATTCAAATACCACACCTCATGCCCAGTGAAGGACTCTGCTCTCTGTGTGGGCTCGGTGTGAATCCAAGGTAAGATGTAAGCCTCCTTATGCAACCCTGGGAGGGTAGACACAGGTGTGGAGCCCACTGGACTGGAGCCATCAGACTGAAGGGTTGGAGGCACTGGAGGCAATGGCTGATTTTTATTACAACATGACCTTGGAGGTTCAATGCACAGAGGTGATCATTAGCCAAATTGGTCCATGTTACCCCAATCCCAATCTCTAAGTATTTCTTAATAGTAGTTGAGGGAAAAAGAGCTGAAGACCAAAGTTTTGGTCCCTGTACTATTCACTTGATTTGTTCTTTCTCTTTTTATTTTAAAGCACACTTGTATTTTTCCATTGTTTTTTATAGTGAAATATACATTAACATTGCCATTTCACCACATTTTTGCTCATTTGATAGTACTAATCACCTTCACCTTGGTGTTCAGCTATCATCAACATCTATTTCCAGAAAATTTCTGCTTCCCAAAGTGAAACTTTGAACTCATTTTAAAATCTCTATATTTCTCCCTCTCTCCACACTGGCAAAGACCATTCTTTAGGTTTATAAGTGAAACGTGATAAGGAATTAAAGTCTAAAATGTACAAAACTAATGTAAGCAAGAGGCACCATTTACAGGTGTACATTTTTAGCTTTGCTGCCAAGTCCAAACTCTATACCAAATGAATGTCAAAGGTACTAAGATCAGATTCTTCTGCTCTGGAGACGCCTTAGGGATCTCTTCCTCAAGGTGTAAATGAAAAAAAAATCAACAAACATGTACATCACTGAGGCTTCTGTACCCTTTCTGGAAAAATGTGATGCAGATGAATAAGTACACCTCACAGCCTGCTCCATAAAATAAGCAAACAACTGCCAGGGGAGATCCACAAGTGGAGAAGGCTTTAGGTGTCCCATCCAATGACGGTATGCTCAGGATGGAGGAAATAATTTCATAGTAAGAGAAAAAGATTCCCATAGAAAGAAATCCAGGATGGCAACATCAAAATACAGGACTATGTAATTGATGATGATTTCAGAACAGGTAGAATTAATACATTGACAATTGTCAGAGAAAAAATTAGAAACTTCCACATCCTTGAAGCAGGTAAATTATAACTGAATTAAATCGTGTATCTGAGAATCCAAAAGGTTATCCCAAAATGACATCAAAATTAAGAAGCCACAGAACCAAGGGTTCATAATAGCTGGATAATTCAGAATGTGACAGATTTCTACAAACTGATCATAGGCTATCACAGTCTGAAGCATACCATTCCTACCTCTGAAAATATAAACAGAAACATCTGTCAGAAAGCCCACATACATGACTCGACTCTGAATTGACCACAATCATCTTTGGAACCATAGTGTTGATGAAGCAGATGTCAGTCAAGGACAGGTTGGAGAGGAAGAAGTACATGGGGTGTGGAGGTGGGAGTCAGAGCTGACGGCCAGGATGATGAGCAGATTCCCAACAACAGTGACCAGGTACATGGACTGGAACAGTCCAAAAGGATGGGATGCAGGTTTGGGTCCTTGGAGAAACTCACAAAAAGGAATTCTGAGACCTATGTTACATTTTATGATTCTCTATTTATTAGACATTTTGAAAACTTAAAATGGATAAGAAAATGGAACCAAGAGGCATTCAGTTCTCATTATTTGGAATTCTAGTATGCAAAATTGTTTATTCATAACTTGAGGTCCATACACTGTAGCAATACCTCTCAGGACAAAATCTTTTTAAACCTCTTTCATTATTCATTTCTGTTTTACTCACCTCCTTTTCTACATATATGCTTTAGAGACAATCAACTGAATATTGTTATAAGATCAAGAACATTATGGATAATTAGTCCATTATCACAGTAAAATACAGCCAATATTTTTTGGAAAATAATAAAGAAGAACCAATATCCTTTTGCCTTTAAGAAAAGAGTGGAAGGTAAAAAACAATCAAACACAGTTTATTCTAAGACTATATGAAAACATCCTTTTTCTTAGAATATTAAAAACACTGAAAGAACTAAGACAGACCATGTGCACACTAAATCAAAGTTGATAATTCACAATGAGAAAACATTATTGAGTGCCAATTATCTTGCACTCAACATTATTGAATTTTCAACATTATTGAATTTCCTGATTTTCCTCTTTTGTAAATATAAATCCTCACTTTTATTGTTATTTATTAATTACTTAATGTCACTACTGTTTGACCTGATGGTTTAGTTAAATCCACATAATTCTAAATCACTGATCAGAAATATATTATTTTACACTACACCAATTGATGCCTAAGATTAATGAAATGTTAACACATCTGAAATTTTATATTTTAATATATCTCCTTATCTTTTATATATATGTACATAACCAAACATATCATTGAAATCTATCTAGCAATAATTCTTTTGAGATTATTCTCCAAGGAATTTCATTTTGTATCAGAAATAATATCCCCACTAGGCTCCAGTAGAGGAGACAGTGCCCTGAGATGGAAATCAGAATATCAACATTTTGGGCCAACATAATTGGCCTGTTATATTTTTAGAATGTATGTGAGTCTCCACCTCTCTGTTTGTACTCCCTATTGAAAGGGGGAGAATATCATTCATTTCTATGCCAAGGTAATGTGGAAGTCATTAACTGTTTCACCATACGTTTTCTAGATAAGCAATTCCATCACTTTGGAGATCGTGAATTTACTGAGTAGCAGCTTGCAAAAGGCACTGGATCCTGGAATAACGTGAACATATAAAATGTGTTACAACCGAAGGTTTACCTACACACTTTTCTGTCATTTTCTACTCATAAAATCTCTGCAGTTATCTTTCAATAATTGAGCATTGCAGATATTATTAAATGTCATTATAGGTCCAATGAGTCCCTAAAACAGATTCAGCTAGGAGCCGTTTTGACTTGTCTCTAGTTCTATGGAAGATTCCTGAAAGGAATGAAAGTATAGAGGAAAAAACACCACATGTGTTGGAGCCATGCTGAGTATGGCCATTATTTTGTGAACCAAGAAAAAACCTACTCAATATTTAAAGAAAGTTTTTATTGTTGATACTTCTTCTGTGCCCAAAATTGAATAGTTTCTGGGGAATCAAAAATGAAATAGTAACTCCTCTCCTTGTATGTAAACATAAAAGGACAAAAATTAAATGTTCCATTACAGAAACAGGGAAATGGTAACTTCAAATCAAAAGCTATTTTGATTGAATAGTATGAAGGTTGATTTTATTAAGATTAATGTCAAAGTTGCATTTTTTCCTTCTTGCATTTTAGTCCTTCACATACTCACAGGGATCAAGCTGTGCCTGTGTAATCTTTACTTAGTGTCATTGTACCAACTAGAAACTAACTTAGATGACAATCCTGTGCCTCAGACATATCAACAACCTTGCACTACATCACAGAAATAAGTAGAACCAACAGAATACAAAATTAAATTATCAATCTTTTGAGTTTGAAACACCAAAGCATTTTATTGTTTCCAAACTATCAGAAAATTGTAAGCTGAGGTCAAGAAGTCTTAAATACAGGCACATCTGAGGTACATTTGAAAACTCTCTCCAGCTTTCTGATGGAATGACACCAGGACATGACCTTATTTCTCTGTTTGAGACAAGTGGGGTGATGACAGGAATGGATGATATGAGATGAAAGGATAAACTGGACTGCAGAGAAGACAGAGTCTGTGGTGAATTATTGTGTGTCTATTGTTTTGTGGTCATAGCCTGTGATGCACAACTGTTCTACCTGGTACTGTTCATGCAACAGGTGTCTAACAGGTGCACTCTACTGTGGCCTACCTGGGATCTCGAAAGAAATATCTCCTGGAGTGAAAGAGAAGGAAATGGATATGAGGGTTATCAATTTCATGGCCTGCCAGGATTCTGCTGGCAAGAATAGCCTATGTTGAACAAAGACGGGTCATCTCAAACAAGGCTTCACTCTTTTCTACCTATCACCTAGTTCATGCCACACAAAATGATGGGCTCCTTCTTTCTTGTAAGCTAATAAAAGTGTTGGGGCATATGTCTTGTGAATGACTACACACAGGAAATGAAAAAAACTACATAGAATAGAGCTCAGCATCAGGCACATAGGAAGCCCTTCATAATGGTATATGATATTAGGGTTACTGTTGTCGTCTTCCTCCTCCTCCTCCTCATTATCATTATAAATGTCTTGGAGTGCTTATGGAACACTTTACATGGTCACACTTTCTGTTCTTATGAGGCAGATGTCTATGGGAGATGGAACCACTGTGGGGTGGAAAGTCAAGTATTGAAAAAGTTTTTTTGTTGTTGTTTTTTTGGCAGCGGGAGGGGAAATCACACCACAAACAAGACCACAATCTGCACATTGCACATACCTGAAGTTTGTACACTTTTCCGCCCATCGGCTGTTCCAGCTGACATATTACACCTGATGGTGAGAAAATAATGCTTCTGTTAGTCTTTCTCCCATCCTGTCTCTCTCAGCACTTACCTGGTTATCTTGCAATGTCTACTTGTCCAGGACCAATGACTGAAAATATGATGAACCTTCTCTTCCTGTGGCCTAAGGAAGCCACAAACTCCTCAGATTAACATGAGCACATTGATAGGAGCTTCTTGTCACATAAAACCATGGGAGGTACAGACAGGTATGGTGCCAACTGGACTGGAGCCATCAATTGAAGGACTGAAGGCACAAGATGGGTAATTGCTCTAACTTGATCTTGGTGGCTTGGTGCACAGAGGTCAAATTTGTCATACTGGTTCACATTAACCCAATTTCAAAGAACCTCCTACTATTAATGGGAGAAGGAAAATAAAGATAATGACCTCAATCATTTGGGGCCACTCTTCTACTCAGTATATAGCTTATGTACTATTCACTTCTCTCTTAGTTTTAAATCTATTTGCTTTTTATTTCGCCATTTCATTGTGTGAAAATACAAAATATAAAAACATTAATCATTTTGACAATTTTAATAACATAGTTCAATCGCATTAATCATATTCACATTGTTAGTTATACATCACCACCATACATCTCCAGAAATTTTACATTTTTACAACATAAATTGTATCTACTTTGAAAACTCTCCATTTCTACCTCGCTCCAAAGCAGCAACCACCAGTATTCTGTGAAAAATGATGAGAAGTTAAATCTATTAAAGTACAAAAATAATGTGCCCAAGGAAACAGAATTTGTGATTCTAGTTGTTTCTTTTTTCTGTCTTCTCCAACTAACATTAGGATTAGATGATAAAGGTTCTAGTTTAGATTGCTTTTCTGTGTAACTTCCTCAGGGCTCTTTTATGTCCCTGTTCCTCAGGCTGTAAATAAAGGGGTTCAGCATAGGTGTGACCCACAGTATATATCACTGAGGCCACTACACCCACTCTATGGGAATGTGAGACAGATGAACTGAAGGTCACTCCAATCACTGTTCCATAAAACACACACACACACACACACACACACACACACACACACATACACACACACACGAGACCAATAGGTGGAGAAGGCCTTATACTTCCCACCTAATGATGGAACTCTCTGAATGGAGGAAACAATTTTATAACAAGAGAAAAGGATCCCTGAGATGGTTAAAAAACTAAATATCGCACCAAAAAATACATCATATTACTGGTAAAGATATTCTAACAATTAAGATTAAGGACTTGAGAAGGGTCACAGAAGAAATTAGCAATTTCTACATTCTCAAGTAAGGAAATTTTTAGGCAATAAAATTGTACAGTTGTGAGTCAAAAAGGCTAAACAAAAAAGTACAAAACCAAGAAGCCACAGAGTCAGGGGTTCATAGTGATTGGATAATGTAATGGCTGACAGATGGCCACAAAGTGGTCATAGGCCATCACAGTCAGAAGTGTAGCATCCATACTCCAAAAAGGATAAAAAGAGACATCTGTGTCAGGCAGCCCACATAGGAAATGACTCTGCTGTGAGTTTGGATGTTCACAATCATCTTTGGGACTGCGGTGGAGGTAAAACCAATGTCAGCCAAGGACAAGTTGGAGAGGAAGAAGTGCATGGGGGTGTGGAGGTGACGGTCAGAGCTGACAGCCAGGGTGATGAGCAGGTTCCCGAGCACTGTAACCAGATACATGGACCAGAACAGCCCAAAGAGGATGGGCTGTAGGTCTGGATCATCTGAGAATTCATGAGATAGAATTCTGAGACATGTGTCATATTTTATGGTTCTCTATTGCTTGGACACCTTTTGAAAAAGGAAAGAGGGTTTAGAATAAAGAAGCATGTTGCCAGCATGTAGCAGTGTGTATATATTTTGATTCAAGCAGTTCAATAGAAAATTTCTTGCATTTAAAGACCATACACCTTCTACTGTATTTCCTAGTTAGGAAAAACCAATTTTTAGAATGTTTTCATTAGAAATATCTTAAATTTTAAAATAATTTATTATTATTATTATTATTATTATTATTATTATTATTATACACCTGTTTCTAATCTTACTTATATTAGACGGAAGTTCAGATGTTGCATCATCCACAAAGATGCAAGTGTTAAAGGGTGAATCCTATGGTGGTGCTCTTGGGAGTTGTTGGAACATAAAGAGATGGGTAGTAGTGGGTGCTTTGTGTGGTTGAGAGCTTGCTCTGGAATGGGATAGAGGGACCCCATCTGACTCCTCTTTCTCTCCATTTTTTTCCTGACTATACAGTAAGAATTTTTCTCTATTGCTTTCTCCCAACATGATATGTTGCCTGATCACAGGCTCAAAACAATAGGGTTCAATTAATCCTGGGTTGAACCCTCTAAAGTTGTGAGCTAAAATCATGCCTTTCTTATTATAACCTGTTATTTCAGGTATTTGCTATATTAACTGGAAGCTGGTTAACCCAGAGATACTCTACTGAAGATTAAGTCCAACATCATTAGAGATATCAAATTCATATTCATTGTAATATAGATAAGACCCTAAATACAGTATATAAAATAAGAAATATCCCTACTCCTTTAATAAGATAAAGAATTCTAATTAAAAGACATTAAAAAGTGATCAAAAATCAATTTATTGTACTTTTACAAATTACCTTCGCTTATAATAGTTATAAACAAGAGCCACGCCTGTGTTGTTATTGTTGTTGTTATTATTATTATTATAATCAAGAATTACCACAAAGTCCAAGCATCACAATCACAAAGTATGCTCTTTTTCCTGTTAAATTCATAAGGTTTCATAATTCCTTCACTTTTAGGATTTTGCTTCTTCATGAAAATAAATGTTCACTCAAATATGTGGATTGTCTTTAGAAGTCACTTAATACATAATCCTCACCCTTTGTCTTCAGTGTACTTCAAATTTTGAGAAATATGTACATAACCATGTGTACAATTATCAAGCATCCCAGACCACATAGATGGCATTAGTGTACCACATATGTTAATAATTAAACAAAAGTAAAAACTTTAGAACAGATTTTTTCATTGCGTTATATTATACAGGTTTGTTTGAATTAACTCCTTGTAATCAGAAGAATGCATCTTGTTTGGTCACTATTTGCTATTCTGTTTTTGTATTTTTTTTAAACTCTGTAATCCACAGTGGACTGTTAAAACTGCTTCACTTTACAATCATACTTAGCATACTGGGAGCTCCCAAAACCAGATTTGAAACAGCCTTTAAAACCTAGTTCAAAGGTTTCACATAATTGCTGTCACAGGGATTAGACATTCTCTTAACTTCATCTACCTGAAGGACACTCACTTTCATCATTGTGAATGGTTACATAATTATTTAACTGGAAAAATATATAAGATTCAAAGAATAAACATACCTGAATCAATTCCTCATGTGTTAAATTAGCATGATGATTAGACCTAAATAGTTATAAATGATTGAAACAGTATTTTTTTAATATTTAAATTTCTTAAACCAAGTGATTCTCAAGAGCAATGGATCCATGTATTTACCAAAGGTATTTCAAATATATTGATACTGTGTCTCTGAATAGAATGAATATCAGATAGAACTGATATTTAAGACTCTTGGTGGGTAGAAAAAAACCTGCCATAGAAAATTGTCCAACACTTAAAAAACGATCACTTAATAATAACTATTATTGTTCTCATCAATATCCACCCTGTATATTAAACACATAAACATTAATAATATTTGCCTCACCTCATATTTTGTAGAAATTTGTACTAATACCAGTAAAGCTTGTTTCACATGGGTCTTTGCATGATCATATTTCTTTCTTTTTAACTAGCTACACATGACATTACAATGATCTTGACAATTCATACATTTGAATCAAATGGGGTTTAATTTCTCATTTTTCTGATTGTACAGATTGCAGAATCACATTGGTCATACAGTCACCTATATACATACAGCAATCATAATGTCTATTTTATTCCCCTCCCCTCCCCTCCTAGCACTTTTCTCTATCCAATCTAATGTGACACACTTTTCCTTTTTTTTTCTCCTTACAACATCATACATGTATTCTGTATAACAATGAGAGTCTCCTTCCATCTTTTGTGCAATTCCCCTCCTCCCTCCTTTTCCCTCCCACCTCTCTTCCCTATTTAGTGGTAATCTTCCTCTCATGCTCTTCCTCCCTACCCCATTTTGAGTCACCCCCCCCCTTGTATCAGAAAAGACATTAGGCATTTGTTTTTTAGGGGTTGGCTAACTTCACTTAGCATAATCTGCCCTAATGCCATCCATTTTCCTGCAAATGCCATGAGCATGATCATAATTCTATGTAGACATTTCCCTCAAAACAAAGTTTTTGTAAATGTGGTGGGTAGATTTTCCTTTCATAGTTTCCATAACATTACTATGGATTTGTATACCATGAACAGTCTCCTAAATCTTAGCTGAACAGTATGCCACACAAGTTTTCACTAAAGTGATCTTAGTATCATAGCATTGTGTTTGAATCTCTCTGTAAGGAACATATATCTACTTCAAATATTTTTAGTGCACAACATTATCTGCAGGAAATACATACGTTTTCCAGTTAATCATTTTATATTTCTATAATTTAATATACATCTAATAAATTTAGAACACTTATTAAAAGTTTTCCTACAAAGTACCCAAAGCTCTTTTAAATTGTACCAATTATGCCTAAAACAAAATGATTTGCATGAATATTTTAAGTCTGAGGTACACACATGCTTTAAACACTTTTGAGGATGCATCATCTGACAGAGCAATCTCACTTTGCGTGTCAGTGTACTATTGTAGTGCTCCATGTAGTCAGCTCACAATAGCCAAGATAATCAGCCAAAGTGTCATTGGTGAACATGTAGTATATGTACACAATTAAATATTATTCAGATATGAAAAAGAGTAATTTGTGGCAATGTGGATTTAACTAGAGGACATCAAGTAAAAAATGTCAAGCATAGAAAGACAGACATTTCTCACTTGCATGTGGAAGACAGAAATGTAAGTTTCATTTAAATGGAGAGTAGAGTGCGGGCTCCCAAGGCTAGAGAGTGTAAGGGAGCATTGGAGGGAAATAGAAAGAGGTTTTTATTGAGTACAAAAATACTCTTATGAAAAAGAAATAAGTTCTTGCTTTCTATAGCAAAGTAGGATGTCTACAGCTAACAATAATTAATTGTATATTTTAAAGCAGCTAAAAGAATGGATTTTAGATATTTCCAACACAAAGAAATGCTCAATCTTTGAAGTGATGGACATGCAAATTGTCCTGATTTGATCATTCCACATTTATACATGTATTAAAATATCACACTGTATCCTGTAAAGACTGAACAGTGGATTTCATTTGGCATATTGGTGCATGTACATAGCAAAACTTGCTCAGTATTAATCTCCAATGCCTCCCCTTACCTTCCCTCCTCCCTCTCCCTGATCCCCTTCATCTACCCAAATCAGTTTCTTGATTACTTTCATGATATGATTTTTTTTCTTTTTTTAAAATTTTTATTCCCTCCAGCTTCACATATGAGACAAAACATATGATACTTGTCTTTCTGTCTCTGGCTTATTTCCCTGAACATGATACTCTCCACTTTCATCCATTTTACTGCAAATGACATAATTTCATTCTTCTTTAAACCTGAAAAAAAATGGCATCATGTATATGTGACATATTTTCTTTATAAATCTTTTGTCAACAGGAAACTATGCTGATTCCACAACTTGGCTATTATGAATTGAGCTGTACATATTAACTTCTTTTGTGTCTTCAATTTTTAGAGAACATTCTCATTTTATTTCCATTCTTTATAGTGGTAAAAATACATGAGAAAAAAACACCATTTTTATGTTTACAGTACTGTGGCATTGATTATATTCACATGTTGTTCAATTTCACCATCATGCATTTGTACAAAATTTTCCAATTCCCAAATTGAGCATTTGTGCATACTTTTAAAAGTCCCTATTCCTCTATCTCCAGTCAGCGTCCAACAACATTCTGCTGTGAAACAAGAAGAGGAATTAAGCACACAAACTGCAAATTAACATGCTGGGACGACAGTTCTATGACTTTAGTTTGGCTGCCTTTTCCAAACTAGATTCCTAATGGATGCCTCAGGACCTGAGTGAGGTTCGATTGTTCTGCTGTGGAGCCTCCTCATGTCCCTGTTCCTCAGGTTGTAGATGAAGGAATTCAGCATAAGAGTGATCACAGTGTACATCACTGAAGCTTCTGCACTGCTTCTGGGAGAATGTGATCTGACTGAACCAATGTACACCCCAAGATTAACTCATAAAGTAAGAAAAAAATGCCAAGTGAGACCCAAAGGTGAAGAAGGCCTTACTTATACTTCTCACCTGATGATGGAGTTCTCTGAACAACGGAATGAGAATTTTATAATAAGAAAAAAAGGATCCTTGAGATAGGATCTTGCAATAATTGCAAGATATTGCACCAAGAAAATAAACATCTATGCTATTAGTGAAAGTGTCAGAACAGACAATATTAATAAATAGAGAAGGTTGGCAGAAGAAGTTGGAACTTCCCACCTCCTTAAAATAATAAATTGTATAGCAAACCATTTTTGCAGCCAGGAGTCCAAAAGGCTGACCAAAAATAGTACTACAACTTAGAAGACTAAGTAAAGGGTGCAAAATTCAGACATTAATTATATTTAAATTAATGTTTAGTATTCAGTGATGTCCATCCCCAGTAATTTTTCATCCTCCAAAACTAAAATTTTGTATCCATTTTAAAATCCTCCCATTCTTCCTTCTCTAAAATATTACTGCCTCCATACTATGAAACATGATGATAATTAAAGCATACAAAGTACAAAACTAATGTGACCCAGGAGATATGATTCATGTGTCTGTATGTTTAGTTTTGCTGTATTTCCAAACTATATTCCAAATGGAAACCACAGGTCCTTAGATTAGACTATGCTGCTGTGGAGCTTCCTCAGGGTTCTTCTAATGTCCCTGTTCCTCAGGCTGTAGATGAAGGGATTCAGCATAGGAGTAACCACTGTGTACATCACTGAGGCCACTGCACCCTTTCTGGGAGAATTTGATACAGCTGATCCAATGTACACTCCAAAGCCTGTACCATAAAACAAGCAAACTACTGAGAGGTGAGACCCACAGGTGGAGAAGGCTTTGTACTTCCCACCTGAGGATGGGATTCTCATAATGGAGGAAATAATTTTATAGTAAGAGTAAAAGATTCCTGAGATGGGAAAGAAACCAGAGATGGTGACAACAAAACACATTACTATATTACTGATAAAAGTATCAGAACAGGAAAGATTAAGAAGTTGAGAAGGGTCACAGAAGAAGTTAGCAACTTCCATATCCTTGAAGTAAGGAAGTTGTAAAATGATCAAATTGTGCAACAGCGAGTCCAAAAGGCTAACTAAGAAAGACATCAACACTAAAGAGACACAGCGATGAGGGTTCAAGATGACTGAGTAATGCAGAGGGTGACAGATGGCCACAAACCGGTCATAGGCCATCACGGTCAGAAGCATATCATCCATACATCCAAAAATGATAAAAAGAGACATCTGTGTCAGGCAGCCCATGTAGGAGATGACTCTGCTGTGAGTCTGGATATTCCCAATCATCTTTGGAACCATAATGGAGATGAAACAGATGTCAGTCAAAGATAGGTTGGCAAGGAAGAAGTACATGGGGGTATGGAGGTGGGAGTCAGAGCTGACAGCCAGGATGATGAGCAGGTTCCCAAGCACTGTGACCAGGTACATGAACAGGAAAAGTCCAAAGAGAATGGGTTGAAGTTGTGGATCTTCCGAGAGTCCTAGGAGATGGAATTCTGAGAGATGTGTTATATTTTGTGGTCCTTTATTGTTTGGACACCTTTTGAGAAAGAAAAGCCAGTGGGAAAAAGAAGAGGCACCACGAATTCTGTATATAACTTAAATTCAATTATTCAACCTTCCACACTTGTGTTCCATGACTTTTAGAAACACTTCTGATTTTTGACATATCCACTTTTCCTAGAACTCTTTCATTATTTGTATCTGTGTTATTTACCTCTTGTTCACAACTACTTTAGAGACACTCAACCATGTAATGTTAGAAGACCAAGCACATTACACACAACAAGTTTATGATTCCAGTTAAATAACAACCAGCTGTTTAAGATAAAATAGAGAATAAGACATATTCTTCCCTGTGTAGAAAAAAAATAATTTATATTGAATGAACTTTAGCCTGTGGAATACATCTCATTTTAATCAACAACAATGGTATAAGTTCAATTAACTTAGAATATTTGTAAACTAAGTTCTAGAAATGAAATATCTGCACATCAAATAAAAGTTGGCTGTTTGTAATTTAAAAAAAAAAAAACTTGCCATTTATCTGCTAGCAAATAAATCCCCTGTTCTTTGATTTTTCCAATTTCCCTCCTTCAAGGATATACTGGATCTGTCAAATATGGTTTACCTTCTAAAAATCATTTAATATATAAATTTTATCCTCTAGGGCCTTCCAATCTGCTTAATTGTTTTGCTGATCATAAACCTTCTTATATCTTAGCACCTCAACATCAGGAAGAGTCTCAAACCTTAGGTTTGAGCCCCCACTTTCTTATGTTTAGATTTTCACATCAATCCTTCCTGACATATGGATTACAATTGTCTCACTTCAACTACCCAAAGGCAAGTCAAGTTCGTTAATTTGTCAACTCTGATTTAATTGGAGAAAACTGTAAAGAAAAGAATAGGACACCTCTAGCGAGTTTTCTGATTTGCATAATGGAGATGAAATTACATACCATATAGGGTTGTTACAAGGAAGTGTTTAAAAAATCTTTTGTACTGTATAAACTAGTATTTCTCAGTTTCATTTATCAATACATTTATTGGCTAACTTTTTAAAATATTCAGATACAGTGACCACAAGCCAAATTAATTTAATTATACTACCTGCATGTGAAGTTCCTCATGACCCTTTCTTACACTAGAGTTGAGAACCACTGCCTTTGTGCACTTCAAAAAAGCTCCATAGTGATAAATTTTATTAATTTCAATAATATTCACTACCCCCATTAAAATAAAAATAATAATAATATATTATTCAAAAATAATATTTAAATGTTTTATTTGTGTATATTAATTATGCAGAATAGTGGGTTCTTTGTGGCATTTTTACACATGCACATAATTTAACCAATTTCACTCCCCAGTCCCCCCTTACCTTCTCACCTCTCTCATTTCCTTCTTTTACACTAATGGCCTCACTTCTGTTTTAGTGAGATCCCTATTACCCTTTATAGCTTCCACATAGAAAACATAAAACACTTGCCTTTCTGTCTTACTTTGCTTAACATGATACTTTCAAGTTCCATCAGGTTTCCAGAAAATGACATAATTTCATTTTTCTTTTTGGCTTAAATTTCTATTCTGTAGTCACTTTACATTCAAAAATCATATTTGATAAAAGATTTGATGGTTATCCATTAAATTTTAGTTTTTCATATCTAACAAGATTATATTCTCCTGCTCTTCTGTCCCCCCAAAGCAACTAATAACAGGAATTTGGTTAGTGTATTTTTCTGTCACTCTCCCCATGTCCTATTGACTTATGTGTCCATGAACACCATTTGAGAAAACTTCCCAAAGGAACTAAAACCCATTTCTCCTGAAATGTTTCTATAAAGTGCATATAGCTACTTCAAATGCTTTAAATGACTTACAGAATTATTTTGGGAAGGAATATCATTTAATTTTTATCATTATGACAGTCTTTTCAAAATTCTTATTCTCCCTATATCACAAGTGAGAATTTCTATGTAATATGTGTGTATTAGATAATGGTTGACTTCCAATAATTGAGACATGTACAGTTTTACTATTAATCACCTATATCATTTCAATAAAATATTTGTTACTATCAATATATTCTATTATTGTTAAGATACACCATAAAAAATATCCCTGCAGTAGATCTAATAATAATTTTTCCATGGTGTCATGCTAATAGATTTCATCTCCTATAGGAATATTATTTCCATTGGCTACAGTAGAGGAGGGAGACAAGTAGGGAGACAAGAAATGAACATCTTTATTTCAAACCATTAACCTGCTCTAATCTGTAGAATGTGTATAAATCTTTGCACTTCTCTGAACTTATACTACTTAATGGAAATGGAAAGAATAACACTTATCTATTGTACATATCTGACATATTAGGGAAGTTTAGAATTTAATAAATATTTGGCCATCGTATTTAAAGAAATAAAGAACTGAATTCTTATGAAAATGTGAATTTATGATAAATGCAATTGTCAAAGGGTACTCATTCCTGGGATAACTGGAAACTCTAAACCGTGTCTTACTCCAAGCAATAAGAATCATATAGCTCCTTCTCTATCTGCAACTTTTTGTCATTCTATACCCATAAAAACCTTTACCATAGTCAGTGAAAAACTAAATATTGCAGGTGCTGATAACTGGAATTATTGAACCAATATGTCCATGACATAGACATAAAAAGAGCTATTTTATCTTATCCCCAGTTCTATGGGACACTCTTGAAAGTGATGAAAGTATAGAAAGAAGAAAATCATTTGATTATGGCCATTTTCTGTGAACAAAAAAATGATCTATTGAATATTTATCTGTAATTTTTTTGGTGATGCCTACTTTTTGGTGAACAAAGAATAGGTACTAAGGAATCAGAAATGAGAGTTAGTCATTTCTCACCAGATATATAGCATATAATTACATAATGACAAAAATAAAATGTTCTACTACAGATATAGAAAAAGAGTAGCTTCAGGTCACAGGACATTTTTGTTGAATGGTATGAAGGTTAAAATCATCATTATTAATGCTATAGTCTAAATTTTATTTTGCACTTATTTCATATATCCATTTATCCATTCTATATTAATCATATAGAGAGAATGTTTCATCTGTAATCCTTACTTGGTGAAGTTCTATCAACTATAATTCAACTCAGATGATCATGCTGAGTGTCAGAGATACCAAATATTTTCCCTACATAACAGAGATAATAAGTGGAGGGTTGGGGATAGACCTCATTGGTGGAGCACTTCCCTAGCACAAATGAGGTCTTGGGTTCAATCCCCAATAGTAATCTAAAGAAATAAAGATAAAGAAGGGGATGAGGAGGAATTCAGGAGGGAAAAGGGAATAAAGGAAGGAAGTAAAGAAGGAAAGTAAATCTAACAGCATTACAAATTATATTGTCAGTCTCTAGATCTGGAACACTGAAATGTTTGTTTCTCAATCATCAATTTTAAGGAGAGGCCCAGATACATTAACCACAGATACATCTAAAGTGAATTTTAAGGTCTCCAGATTCCTGACTAAGAGTGCCAGGAGCCAACTTTATTGAGATAGAGTGGCAGATTGTAAGAATGATGGAAGACCGAGAGAGCTGCACACATGTCTCAAGATGAGGGGGAGAGAGGTCTGTGCTGAAATACACATTATTGCTTTGTGATCACTGCCTGTGACCCACAGTTCTCCTGCCTATAGCTCATGCAGCAGATGCAGAATACAACTCATTTTATTCAACAACAATGGTGTAAGTTCAATTAATAAAATAAAGATGACTCCACTGTGATCTACCTGAAACCTCCAGAGAAAAGAAAACAGGAAGCAAGCAGTCTCTCCTGGAGTGAGAGGGAAGTGAACAGCAGGTTGAGTGTCAATAGCACAACATGCCAGCATTCTAACGGCAAGAATGACATGGGTCCTAATCATATTTATTCAAGTAAGGCTTCCTTCATTTCTACCTACCTAGCTAGTGTTCATTACACAAAAAGGTGCTCCTTCCTTCCTGTAAGAATTAAAAATGTAAGAGTCTATATTTGGAGAAAACTATGTACATGAAATGAAACAGTAAGAGTAAATGATGTTATGCCTATTGTCATCTTCCTCCTCATCACCACTGTCTGAATGATGAAGGTTTTGGAATGCTTATGAAACCATTTACAGGAACCAGTTTTAGCTAATATGGGTAAGATGTCTATAGAAGGAGAACTGGTGGGGTGGAAAGCATTACTTTGGATGAGATTTTTTTTCACCTTCGCCACAAATAACATTGAATTTAAAGTTAACATATCTGATTTTTCATATAGTTATTCTCCCTTCTGCCAACTGTAGTTGTTGTGTATTTGAATAATAAAGAAATAACACTTCAGTTGTCAGTCCTTCCTCTATCCCTGACTCCCTCAGCACTTACTTGGTTACACTCTGTGTCTGCTGACTCATGACCAAGTACTATGGATCCAACACTCGTCCTCTGCCTGAAGCCCAGTGAAGGTTCAGACTCTGTCCTCACAATTGATATGAATATGTGACAGGAGCTTTCTGGTGTAGAAAACCATTGGAGAGCAGACACAGATATAGAGTCCACTTGACTAGAATCAACATACTGAAGGCTGAAGACACAAGTTGAATATTTTCTAGTATATGCCCTTGGAGTCTCAATGCACAATGCTCATAATTAGACAAATTGGTCTGTTATCCCAACCTCTGTGGAATTAATAGATATTAACGAGAAAGAAGTATTAGAGAAAAAGAATGTCCACCAAAGATTTTAAACCTTCATGTACTCTGGAGGATGCTCATGTGTAATATTTACTTCATTTATATCTTTTTTTAAAGAGTAATCTTTATTTTATTCCATTTGTTCTGTGCTAAAGTACACATACAAGAATTTACCATTTTATCACTTTAAAATATACTCCTTGGTGGCATTAATCTCATTTACATTTTTGTGAAACTATCAATATTATCCATCTCCAGAAAGTTTTTATTTTCTCAAATTGAAACAGTGCCTATTTTTAAAAAATTCACATTACTCTCTTCCACCAACTGTGGAAATCATCTCTATACTAAATAAGATGGTGGAAGTTAAAAATGTTAAACTACAAAAACAATGAAACTAAGAAACTAAGAAAGAAAGCAGGATTTATAGGTATAGATAGATTTGTTGCCTTTTCCAACCAATATTCTAAAAGGAAGCCACAGGTCCAGAGATTAGACCATTCTGCTGTGGAGCCTTCTCAGGGAACTTTTCATGTTCCTGTTTCTCAGCCTGTAGATGAAGGGATTCAGCATGGGAGTGACCACAGTGTACATCACTGAGGCCACTTCAACCGTTTTTGGAAAATGTGATACAGCTGAAGCAAGGAATATTCCAATTTCTGTTTCACAGTGTAAGCAAGCAACTGATAGGTGAGACCCAGAGGTGGAGATTACTTTATACTTCACACCTGATGCTGGGATTCTCAAAATGGTAAAAACAATTTTATTGTAAGAGAAAATTATACCTGAGAAAGGAATAAAACCATACATGGCACCAACAAAATTTGTGATTATGATTTTCGGTAAAGGTATAAGAACAGGCAAGACTAAGGAATTGAGAAGGATCACAGAATAAATTGGAAATCTCCACATTCTTGAAATAGGATAAGATTTAGAATTAATTATCATAGTAAAGTTAATCACGATACTGTTTGACCTAAATATTCTGTGACCTTGTGTTATGGTTTTTCTAGTCCTCTAATTGCAACTTTTTGTTCTTATATAAGTAAATACTGAATACTTGGAGAAGAGTGACTGAATCATTCATTTTGGGATTTCCCAGAGCTAAAATAAATCTTCCTTGGCACAGAGGATGTATTATTCATTATCTGTTTAAGCCTTGCTCAGTATAGTTGTGTCAACTAGATATTAATTCAATGACAACATAGAGTCTCAGAGATATAAAGAACTTGCTCTATGTCACACAGAAATCAGTGGAGCCAACATTGAATTTTAGTCTGAGTCCTACTTTGTTCCTCTTAATTGTTTCTTGATCTCCTGAACATTAAATCAGTGTTCTAGAAGACTTAACCACAAGTACATCTAAGGTACATTTTTAACTCTAGTTTCCTGAGTAGGAATGGAACTCAAGACCTTGACTTGAGTTTTGTGACTTGTGGAATGATTGCAAGAGTGGATGAAGAAGTGGGTGACTGAAGTGAAGTGGAGTGGGGACGAGAAAGAAACTTTCCATGGCCTGTCATGTGTGAACACTTTCTGTGACCTATTTTTAAGTCTACTAGGTATATGCCAAGGAGCAGGAGTGAATTCTTTTATGTATTATGAGGTAAGAGGAAGAGCTAAAGGCCTTCCCACATTCCTTACATTCATAGGGCTTATCTCCACTGTGAATTCTGTTGTGTTCAGTGTGGTGGGAAGAACTACTGAAGGCTTTCTCACATTCCTTACATGCATAGTTTGTCTTTTCACTATGAATCTTCATGTGCTTCCTGAACAAGGAGGAGCAATGGAAGGCTTTCATACATTCCTGGTCCCCTTGTCTATATAATATGGAAGCTCAGGTGAGTACTCCCAAAAGTACTAGAAATGCTGGTCCCCTAGGACTCCAGTAACAATTTTTCCAATAATTCTGATAATTAAAGTAGGTGTCAAAGATTCAATATTTCAGTTTCATTTGAGGAAAAAAATCATCTTGACAAAATTTTTTGTGAGACCACAATTTTTGACCTAGGCTTATGTATACACATTTCTTAAATCAAAACATTTTAAGTTTCTCCCTTGAGGCACTACCTACTATTATATGAAGGGCACTCACCTCAAATGTCTCTCATGGCTTTTGTTCTAATCACCAACACCACCAGATTCCCCATTTTCATACAAATTAGAGGAACCACTTCTTTTCAATCTCAATATTTTCTGTTCATTGGATAATTTTTCTCTATCAGTATCTCAAAGAGCAACTAATTCATTAGCAGTATTAAGTAGAGACTCAAAATGTGAAATAAAAATATGAAGGCATTTGAGAGCAAAGGACTTTTAAAAGTGTGGCTGTTTCAGGAATTTGGGTATTAACAAGCAAAACAGTCAAATGGTAAGCAATTCACTAAGAAATAGTTCAATGAAGACTGATGCTGATGATAACATTACTAGAATATTATTATGAAACCAAAGAGAAAGGAACAGAATAAAAGGTACATACCAAATATTCACTTAAAAAGAGAGTATAAAGGGATTCTTTGACAAGAACAAAAACAGCGTGAGAGCATTGATAAAAAGTCTAAAGATCAATTAGAGCTATTTGTGGAAGATCATCATCCTCACAAAACGAACTACTTCTACTTGATTATTTTCCCCTCCAAGACCAGTTTATCCCAGAGATTCTTGCTTTCCTGGTGCTGTTCAGTACAGAAGCTCTGGATATGCCCTCTTTTGGCTGTATGCAGTTCTTCCTCTTGTAATCACTGGGAGATCAGATGGAGTGTATGTAGTGGGTACCCTGCACAGGCAGGAGGCATATCAGGAGGGAAAACAATGAAGAAATACACACATTTCCTAAGATGGGGCCAAAATTTTGGTATTCTGATACTCTGAAGTTGGTTAAGTGTAAGTTTCACTTCAGCAAAATGTCAAATATATGAAAGAAAAAAGAAAAGATAAAGGAAAAGAAAAAACAGAGATGGGGAGATAAAAGCAGCCTCTGATGTGCGTAAGTGATCTGAAATTTACACATGAGTATCAATATTACTATAAGCTTGTCTGATACAGCCAGGACATTTTATTTTCCTAATGAACATAAATAATCTCAGAATACCAAGCTTTTCCAAGACCATGATAAATAAACAAAATAAGGCCACTTCATAATTCTATCTAAGGACAGTCAAAAAAAAAAAAGAAACAAACAAAGAGAAAAGGCAATATTCCACTCTCAAAATATTCAATTGCCTCTGTTTTCTGTCAGATACAAGCTAAAGTGACCTCTTATGTACAGGTTGAACACTGTCCACCCCCATTAATGTCCAAATACATCAATGGAACAGAATAGAAAGGCCATAAACAAATACACATAAATACAGTTAGCCATCTATATCCACGGACTCAATCATGAACATAAAATATTAGGGGAAAAAATTGACGTCTGCACTAAAAAGGTACAGTCTCTATTTCCTTGTCATCATTCGTTGATCAATACAGTATAACAAGTATTGACAGGTTTCCGTTGTATTATGTTTTGGAAGTAATCAAGAAATTATTTAAAATATATGAGAAAATGTGAATATGTTGCATACAAATACTATATCACTTTAAATAAGAAATTAGAACACACAAATTTTATCTCTGAGAGGGATTTACTATGGATACCAAAGGATGACTGTGAGTCAACTGATCTTTCAAAAGGGAACAAATGCAGTAGTTTTTTTAAAAATATAGTTTTTCCTAAAGTTATGCTGCTGGAATAACTGGAAACACAAGTAAAAAAGTGAAATATTCACAAGCATTAACCTAAAATTATGTAAGTGTAATATAGAGTTAGATAACTCCTAGAAAATACAGTGAAAAATCTAGATGACCTTGGCTTGGCATAGACATCTTAGATATAATACCAAAAGGATTGATTCTTGAAACAACAATTGATACGCTAGACTCTATTAAAATTAAAAATTTATCTTCTGCTAAAGATTTTCAAGAAAATAAAAAGACAAGCCACAGCTTAGAAGAAACAATTCCAAGAGATTCATTTGATAAGATACTGTTCCAAAATACACAAACAGCTTTTAAGTTCAACAATAAGAATCAACAGTCTTATAAAAACATTGGCCAAAGACCTTCAACTGACACCTCACCAAAGAAGATATACAAATGGCAAATAAGTAAATAAAAATATGTTTCACATCATACATTATCAGGAAAATGCAATTTCGAACAATGAGACACCACTGTAAATCTATTAGAATAGCCCACATCCACAATATTGACAATGTCAAATGCTGGAAAGCATGCAACTTGGCAAAAAAATCCACTTTGGAAGATGGTTTTTTGGTTTCTTATAAAATTAAACATATTCTTACCATATATTCCAGCAATTGTGCTCCTCAGTATCCACCCAAAGGAGTGGAAAACTTACATCCTCACAAAAAGTTGCACATGAATATTTATGACAGCTGTAGTCATAACTGCCCCAATGTGGAAGCAATCAAGATGTCACCAGAAGGGGAGTAGATCAATACAATAAACAGTGGCATATCCTGATGGTGAAATATTATCAAGCACTAAAATCAGCTATAGGTCATGAGAAGACATGAAAGAAATTTAAATGCATATTATTAGGTGAAAGAAGCCAATCTGAAAAGGGGTACATGCAATATGATTCCAACTATGTGATTTCCTGCAAAAGGCAAAACTAGAGAGAATTTAAAGGTCAGTGGCTCCCAAAGGATTAAGGAACATGAAAGATAAAAAAGGTAGAGCACAGAGGATTTTTAGGGCTGTGAAACTACTCTATGGAATTCCATAATGGTGGGTACATGTCATTATACATTGTCCCAAAAGCCAAAGAATGTACATCACCACAAGTGAGTGCTAACATATCCTGTGGACTCTAGGTGATGATGATATGTCATGTAGGTTCATTCATTTTAACAAATTTACCACTCTGGTGGTGGATGCTGATAGTGGAAGAGGCTGTCCCCAGGTGGCAGCAGAGATAGGGCAGATCTCTCCACCTTCCAGTAAATTTTGCTGTGAACTTGAAACTGCTCTAAAAATAAATAAAGTGAAAGGAGGAGAAAGGTAGGTAAGTAGGTTTAGTCTATAGAAATACAGTCTTTGCAAAGAAAAATCAAGTCAAAATGAGATTAGTATGTTTACAATGAGCCCTAAATCCAATGACCAGCACCCTATGAGGAGAGAGATACAGGTACACAGGAAAAAGATGACTGAGGCAGAGACTGAGTGATACATCTATAAACCAAGAAACACCAAGCAGTGCCAGCAACCACCAGAAGCTAGAAAGAAACAGGTAGGGACATTTTCCCTAGAGCCTTTAGAAAGAATTTAGCCCTGATGACATTTGGAATTAATACTCCCAGCTTCCAGAAACACAAGAATAAATTTCTGAACTTTTTATGGTACTTCATTCCAGAGGGGCTAAGGAACAAATAAAGGTATTTCCACAAAATCATCCCTGAACCATAAAAGAAAAGAAAAAATCCTATAATTGGTACTTTCTAATGTCCTCTTACTAGGATGCCCCATAAATCCCCACAGGGTATGCTCTCCCATGACACACTGCAAAATAACCCCACTTCTTTAACTATAGATGTTCTCCTGGTGGTAAAGGGTAAAGGGCATTCACAGCAGTTAGAATCCTCAAAGGTCTCAAAGCACAACCTCTCCCTGTGCCCCAGAGTAATCCATGAATGCCTACACTAACAATACTTAATAAGCTTCAAATTTTTCAACCACAAGAAAAATAAAAAGCAAATTTAATATACTGATGTTTATTTTCTTAAAGAAGCCTCCAGATCATAAGCACCCTATAGTCAGTGACCACGTCTGTCTTATTTACCAAGCACCCCCATTCCTCAGCACAAATCCTAGAATAAGGTCAACTAGTAGACAAAATTGTTTTCTAAACCACTACATGAACAACATTGCCAATCTTACCTAGGGAGGCCAGGTTCCGGAAGGTTTCCAGCAACACATCTCTATAGAGGCTCCTTTGAGCAAGATCCAGCAAAGCCCACTCCTGCTGGTTAAAGTCCACAGTCACATCCTCAAAGGTCACCGAGTCCTAAAAGATGCCACAAATTCTGTTCAGAAAGGTACAACTCCTCCAGTGTGATAGATGAGGCTGACAGCACTGGGGACCTGAGAATCAATTCAGGGGAAGCTCAGAAGATTTTATGGTCTCCCAGAGTCTATGTCAGGACTCAGTCAGCAGATCTCTTTCCCTTTCTACTCACACATAACTTAGTGACTGAACAAATCCTGTCTCACAGCCTTTATACTCCTAAAACACTAAATTTCTCTCAGCAATTTATAGTAATAAGATCACATAGTCACTCTTACACCCTTTCTCTCTGTAGCACAAAACACTTCTAATACCAGACGTGTGTGGGATTTCTCACACATATGGACCAAGCCATTCTCCAGCAGATACTAACTGAATATCTTCCAATTCAATTAAATAATCACAGTGTCTAGCTGGAGGTAGCATCATACCACAGGTTTATGATTTGGTCCCATAGAACTGCTAGTTCAAAATTCAATCACAAATAGTAGTTTGTCACTATACTTCTGATCAAGTGGCTATAAGTCAAGGTTTCCATGAGCTTTCCTTGAGTTCAATTAATCAACTGGAAGAGCTCACATAATTCAAAAAATGTTTCCTTGTGTTTAAAGTTTATTATAAATTATATTACAAAGTACATGGAAACAGCCAGATGAAGAGAGAGAAGTAGGCAGGAAGTGGAACAGAGTTTCCATGCTTATTGAGTGCCATGCTCCAGGAACCTCCACATGTTCAGCTACCAAAAGCTCCATAAACCCACTCTTACTGAGATTTTATGGAGGCTCCACTAGTAGATATGACAGATTAAACTGTTGGCCACTGGTGATTAACTTCAGATCCTCTCCTGCCTCTGGAAATTAGAGAGCAGTGTTGAAAAGTCCCACCTCTTTAATTACATCTTCATCTTTCAAGAACAACCATCCCAAGGTTATTATATCATTATCCTTATTAGCATCCAAAGTTACCTTTATCCCTTCAGCCATGCCCCAGATTTTAGGAGCTCTATGTCAAGGACATTGGTCTAAGATCAAGTATATACTGAACATCACCACAGATGTTGATCCATTTCATTTCTGTCATGGTCCAGAATAGTCCAGAGCATATGACAGAAATGAGAGAAATGCACTAAAATGAAGTAATTTCCACACTGACACCATCAATTTCCTTGTTACAGAAACAACGTCACTTGCTACCTTATTTCCATCACAGTAATCAGCACAACACAAAACAGGATTAAATCTCTAGCTGGAGAGAGCATCATACCACACACAGAGTGAATGGGCACTTTTCTCATTCTGTTCACCCTCACAAACCTGAGCAGAAACAAGTGTTATCTTTCATGCTAGCTGCACAGTTGGTCATATTTTCTTGTATTCTATGCCAGGGTTCAGCAAACTACAGCACATGAACCAATTCAGCATGCCACCTACCTGTGTAAATGAAGTAGTGAAACATAATAAATTGTTTGCTTATATACTCTCTATAGCTGATTTTGTATGAAAGTTTCCTTGCAATAGAAACTCTATGGCCCTCAAAGCCTAAAATACTTTTTCCATGTGATCCAATAAGAACTAGATTGCTAGCTTGTGCTCAAAGATAGCTAGAGAGCTGGGACTGTGGCTCAGGGGTAGTGTACTTACCTAGCATGTGTAGAGCACTGGGTTCAATCCTCAGCACCACAGAAAAATAAAATTAAGATATTGTGTCCATCTATAACTAAAAAAATACATATTTAAAAACCAGCTAGGGCAGCTACTCAAATGGAAATATTCTTATAGAGAATTATGACCTTTGGCTTACCTATATCATTGTTTTCTGCAATTTAGCAGCTATTCTTTCTTCTTCCATGTTCTCTTTCTGAAGGGAAGCAGGATGTTCACAAGTTCTAGAAAAAGCAATAAGCTGACAAGTGAATCTAGACCTCCCCACACCTGCCACACCCACATGCCTACACGCTGCAGTCCATCAATGTTGTAATTCCCCTCAAAACACAAGCACACACACCCAATGGTGCCCAAGCAAACACATAAAGGCAAAAAACCTAATCTTCCCCTTTAGGAGCCATAAAACAGTGTTGCTGCCTTTGCTGATCATAAAGAGATTAAGAGTGTCATTCTGTACGTAAGTTTGGCTGTCAATTTCTTCATGATAACAAAAGGCATAAAGTTTGTCAAGCAGTGCCTTTAACCCTAAAAATATATACTCCCTATTTCAAGTTCAAGAAAGCACTGATTTATATACCAGGGTTCTATGAGTTTCACACACATCTATTTCAGCAGCCCCTGCCAGGTTAACAAGCATTATAGCTCTGCCCTTGACCACTCCCCCCCATACCAGTGAACTGTGGGGTTCCCCTCAAACCTAGTTTGTGACCATCAATTCACTGAATTCTATATGAATGACACAAAGAACACTGCTTTACTGTGATTCACATGCTAAATTTCCCTGAACAGTACACAAGTAGCGGAGGAATATTTGATTTGTGTCACTCCTAATAGAGATATGTGCTGTTTCACAAATATCAGACAATGAAAATTCAACAGTTCCTTCCACTTAAGTGAACAAATAGTGTATTTAAAACTCAATAAAACGGGCTGGGGATGTGGCTCAAGCGGTAGCACGCTCACCCGGCATGCAGGCGGCCCAGGTTCAATCCTCAGCATCCTCAGCACCACATACAAACAAAGATGTTGTGTCTGCCGAAAACAAAAAATAAATATTAAAAAAATAAAACCTTTTTAACACTCTTTACTATATTTATAATAATATAAGCCATTTCAACAATGCTGATATGTGAGAGACTCTGGAGAGATGTCTGCACCTTAAGTTAGTGATTTTTCTTTGAAACACTGCAAATCAGATGTTATGACCACCAGTTTAGAGTTGAGGAATTTTTTTGTGTGTGTATGTGTGGTGCTGGGGATTAGAACCCAGAGCCTTGTGCATGCTAGGTAAGCACTCTACCAACTGAGCTATATCCCCAGCTCTAGAGTTGAGGAATATTATTACACACATTTGCACAATGTTACCCCATTATACAGTTGCTCCAGCAGGGTATGAACACAAGGCTACTTGTCTTTAAAGTCTAAATGACCAATGAATACATTTCTGAATACATGTCTTAAAATTTAGTTGCTATTGTAATGGCCATTATTCCTTAAGATTACTAGCATTTAGCCCAAAATCTCATTGGGCACTATAGAGAGAAGATTGAGAGAAAGATTCCATTCAAATATGACATCTCTGAGCTCCTTCTCATAAGTCCTAGGTCTTGGGCCAGAATGTTTTCCTCAAAGCCCTTACCTTCTCTTCCTTCATTTCATATTTAACTTGGACATATTTACCCTGACTTCACTAAACGAAGTCATGAGAAATAAAGCACTGAATAAAATAGAAAAATAGTAAATAGAAAATTTTAACATGGATGTTAAAGTCTTTGTGGGGAAGACAGTAAATAAACAAAATATATCAAGTTGTGGTATATGCTCTATAGAAATACATCATAGTATAGAGAGTTAAGGGAACACATTTATATTTAGTGAGTCAGGACTGGTTATGTGGCAGGATAGAAGCATAAAATTAAAATAACTGTAAATCCACAGCCGGTTTAGTGCACATATTTATGAGCTTCAACTTCCAGGAGGAAAAACAAAATCACATTCATGGAATAACCATTGGTTCATGGAAAAAGAAAAGCATAAAAGTTCAGAAAGAAAATAGGACAAAATTAATATTTTCAAAGCCTAACAGAATCAGAAGACATAAAATACACCCTTTGAAAATTAATAACACTGACGAAGTAAGCAATTTTGAGCGACAGAGCATAGACAAAAATGGTAGTTCAAAGAATGAATCGTAATTATAGACATTGCAAGAATATAATAAATTAAAGAAATAGATATGGAATGGAAAGTAGTCAATGAATTTCTTCTACAAAGCACTATAATTTTCCAGCAATGATCTAAAAGAAACCCAAATTCTTGTTATATCTAGTTATTAATCAAACAAACAAACAAAACAGGTTAAAGAAAAAAAAAGAAAAGATAAGTTGCATACTCTTTTTATAGGTAGGTTCACCAATTAAGAAAGGAATTCATAAAGCCAATATGGGGTGAGGGTACTGTTTTCCTGAGTATTTCTACGATCAAAAGGGTACAACTTGAAACAAGATCTCATACACAATGTGCAAACAACATAAAAATACCACTACACTAGAGAAATGAACAATTAAGTATAAACTGTAAACCAAATTCATTTCATCCTAGGAAAAAAAGGATGCTTAAAAATTAAGTCATGGATTAATAAACATAAACAGGAGAAGATTACTTGCCTCATTCTCTTAGTCATAAACAGTGACTATTTCAGTACCCGTGATTGGTGATAATGTAGCCTACAAGAAGGACCAACAAGGGGGAAAAGGTTTATTAGGAAAAAGAAAATACCAACATCTACAGCAAATGTCCTATTTAATAGTGAAAGGGCAGATCAGTTCTCTGATGTCGGAAAGAAGGGAAGGAGGGACATTATGCTCCACTCAACTCCAAACCCCGATGAGTAAAGACATTGAAAAGGGAAGCGCGAGGAACAGAGAGGAGGCTGAAGCTGGCAGAGGACCAAATTCTCTGTGGGTCACAGGGTCCATGGACAATCAGGATGCCCTGCACTGGCCAGGAGGCGGCGGACGGTATTTAAAACGCAGCTCACTCCCCGGTATCTGAATGCCACGTCTCCCCCAGACCCCCAGGCCTGGACCCTCAGACCCGCTCTGCCCGCCTCCAGAGGGCGCGGGTGAGGACGGGAAAGGCCGCGGGGCTCTCCAGCTCCGGCCTGCGGAGACGGAGACGCGCCCGCCCGCCGCCCAAGCAGCCAGGCGCCCGCGGAGCCAACTCTGCGACACAGGCCCTGGGAGGGCGGGACTAGCCGGGAACGCGTCCCGCAGCGACCCAGGCCGGCCCTCGCCTCCCGGCAGAACCAGGAGGGGACCGGGCCAGCACGCCAAGAGGAAAGAGGAGAAAATTTACTTCCCACTCAGTCAGAGAAACCCGGGATATGGCGGGACCTAAGCACCTGGCAAAGCCGCACTTCCGCTTCCGGTCCTCAGGGGGCAGGGCATAAGGGGCGGGGCCTGGGGAGCTGGGTCTTGGAGCGGGGCTGCCAAGGAGGGCCCTGGAGACAGAGCCTCCCGCGCTGGCTGCAAGAATCGCTAGTGTTTCCAAGGGATAAGAGTAAAGAGAAGAACCAGGTCATTGGAGTTGCCGACCCAAATGGTGGCCAAGATCCTCCAGAGATCGCCTCCTCACAGGGACAACAAATGGAATAGCTGCAAATACATGCACCAAACTAGCTTCACAAGAGCTGGAGAAACGAGCTCTTGCTGAACAGCATCAGAAAAAGAAAAGATGCATTGAGGAAGGAAGGAAGGGCGGGGTTGCTGGAGTCACTCCTTCTTCAGCTCCAAGCAGCCCAGCAGAAGGGCCCTTGGGAGAGAGAAAATTAAGGCCTTGCCTTAAGACTTGAAATCAGATGAAAGACCCTCAGATCCCCAGCCCGGAATGAAACAAGCGAAACGCTGGCTGCAAAAGCAAGAGGCAGTTTATTGCTTCATAGGCGCCTGCGGGTGCTCAGCAATACCTCAGCCGAAGCTTCAGTGAACTGGCACACCGGGCTTTAGGGTACAGTTCTTTTATAGGGAACTGGGGGTTAGTTTTCAGCTTAGCGCAGCAACAGTCATTCTATTGGTTCCTCTGAATCCAGCATTTAGGTCACCTAGGGGGTAAACTTGTTTTTCCACTTTATATTCTTGGAAAAACCATAAAATTGCATCCTGTCCTTTCTGTTCCTGTTTTTACCCTTTACCCTGTTTGCTTAAGCTTGCCCCCCTCCGGGTTATCTAAATAGAACATCTTGTGGTTTTATGTTTGTGCGAGACTTGAATTTCCATGTTCCCATGGTGGGGCCTCTCACAGACCCATCATGATTGATTTCATCCTCTGCTCAGCAGAGTCACAACTCTCCCCCCCCCCATACAAACCCTGAGCTGACCTACTGTAACTACATGCTGACCTACTGAAACTATGTTAGCCCTGCCCCAGAGACTGCCTCCAAATCCCTCCCCCAACCTCAGGCAATAGCTCTGAATAAGAACCTGCAGGGAGCACAGCTGAAAGCCAGCAAAGGCCTCTGAGCTGTGAGGTGCCACACTGGGTACAAACCAATGGCTCTGTGAACAGAACAGAGCTCCAGATGGAGCCTCTAGACCTTCCCCAACATGAGGCAGAGACCTGTGAGACACTGCTGCAGACTACAGCTTTGATCTGCATCATTGTCAGCCTCACAGTGGGCCTGGGGTCCACACTCCCAGGTCCCCAAAACTGGGCATGGCTTTGCATGTGAGACTCAGGTGAGACCTAGTTTAGTGTCACACTTGGAATGAAGGTTACCTTGTCATGATTTAATGTTAATATCTAAATTTCATTTTCCCTTTTTACATTCATCACATATTAATCACACAGGGAGTGTCACTTTCTGTTTTATTCTTACACGTGCAGTTGTATCAAATAGAAATCAACCCAGAGGACAAGACTGAACATGGAAGACAGGAACAACCTTCCCTAGGTCATGCAAATAATAAGTGGAACTGACAGGATTCACAATAAAACATGTTGATCTCTGGGTCTGTGTTAGCTTTCAGCCACTAACAAAATACCTAAGATAAAGAGCTCAAAAGGCTGAGAGATTTATTTTTGGCTCATGGTTTCAGAGGTTTCAGTCCATTTCCACTTGGCTCCCTTGATGTGGGCCAGTGGCAGCACAATACATCATGGCAGGAGTTGTGGGGGCGGGGAGTAAACAAAGAGAGAGGGAGGAAGAGGCCAGGGTTTCAATATGCCTTTCGGGAGTACTTCTCAGTTCAAGGTAGCTGGGAAGCAAAAAGAGAGACAAAGACACCACCATCACTGTGTCCTCTTCAAGAGCATGACCCCAATGACATAATTTTCTCTTAATAGGCCCCACTTCCTAAAAGCTCCACCATTTCCCAATAAAGCACCAGAACAGACAAGCCTTCACCACATGGGCCAAACTATAACAAGTTTGGTTGTACCCCAGCCATCAGAAAGTTTACATCATTTTAAAGCTCTTTCCATTTACCAGAGGTCCAGAAGTCTAACCAGGGGTGCATGTAATGAGTTACATTTTAAAACTCTTTCCAGTTTCCAAATTAGCAATAAAATCAAGACTTGGTAACAAATTAAAAGGTGGAGTTTTGCAGTGCACTCTGGTATGGCTGTGGATTCCTGATCCAGGTGCAGGATCCATACTCTGTACTCAGGATTGATAGGAAGAGTGTCAGAAGCTTCCCAAAGTAGAAAATTATTGCCACCAGTGTAGCAATGCCTGACCACTAGCACCTAGCTGCCTGCCCTGTCCATTTTGCTGTGTCCTCAGAGGACTTGTTCCAAAAATCTGTTAAAACATGGTGGACTACTCTGAAGTTCTAGGCATCCAGAGGCACACCTCACCTGAGGATATCAAAAAGGCATACAGGAAACTGGCTCTAAATTATCACCCAGATTTAAAAAAAAATCCTGATAATAAAGAAGAAGCAGAGAGAAAAGTCAAACACCTAGCTGAGGCATGTGAGGTGTTATCAGATGCTATCTGTTAAATTGATTTGAATTCACCCCCAGCCCAACAACTCATTCTTGTCATTAATGTCAAGTATGGCAAAGAAGGCGTAAATAGTGCAGGTGGAGGTGGAAGTTGTTTTGACAGTCTGTTTGAGTTTGGCTTCACATTCTGGAACTCAGATGTTGTCTTCTGGGAAGTTTTTGGTGGAAGGGGCCCATTTTTCTTGGACTTCTTTGAAGATCTATTTGAAGACTATTTGGGAACTGAAGGGGTCCCAGAGGAAACATAAATCGAGGTGCGTGCTCATTTTTCTCTGCTTTAAGTGAATTTCCATCATTTGGAGGTGGATTTTATTCATTTGGGTCACTAGGTTATGGTGGCCTTACTTTATTCTCTTCTACATCATTTGGTGGCAGTGGGATGGGTGACTTCAAATCTATATCAACTTCTACCACAATGGTAAATGGCAGAAAAATCACTACAAAAAGAATTATTGAGAATGTTAAAGAAAGAGTAGAAATTGAAGAGAACAACCAGTTGAAGTCCTTAACGATAAATGGTAAGGAGCTGCTGCTATGCTTGGATAACAAGCAATTCAACACAGGCACTTAACAGAAATGTTAAACTATAACAAGCTCCATTTGAGGATTAAAAGGAACATTTTTTTTGAAGATTTTAGATGAAATCGACTTTTAGTAAAATTGTATCCAATCTAAAGTATTTATAAACAGCTCGACAGAGTCCCTGTTTGGCATAGACTGTGAGTTTATTGTTGGATCCACACAATATGACTATTTTATTTTTTGGTCTTTAAAATTGTTGCGATCTCTGTATGCACTTTACTTTTTTATTAAACATAATCCAAGGAGAGCCTTTGAATAGTTCTAGAATAAGATTTTATCCTAATACCAGCATGGATCTGCTTTCTCTTGTGTTTGACATGTGAGCCAGTGTATGACTATGAGCTAACATTGCCAGAATGAGGCTCCTATAGAAGTAATTTGTTTTTTTTTCTGGTATCTAATAATGAAAGATATTAATGCATTAAATGTAATACATTTCTTGTTTAATATAAATTTAAGAATGTTTTCTAGATGTGCATGAATGCTGGCAACTTAGTAAAGTTTTGACAACTGTTTAAATGTGCAATAATAAGCTTAGGTTTAAAAATCTGGTAAACTAGATCTTTGTCATTTGTTTTTTAAATAAATGTGAAAATAAAAGTGAATGTGCAAAATTCAGTGACATTAATTAAATGCATGCTGTTTTACTAGCATAACTATCATCCATCTTTAGAAACTTCATCTTCCTGCACTGAAACATTGTACCTAATTTAAAATTCTCCATTTCTTACCCAACCTGGCAATGAACATTCTGCTATAAAATCTGATGGGAGATTAAACCCATTACACTATAAAAGTAGTGTGACCATGGAGGTAGAGTGTATCAATCTGGATGTTTAGATTTGCTACCTTTTCCTGAGATTAGACTATTCTTCTGTGGAGCCTAAGCAGAGTGCTTTTAATTTCTTGGTTCCTCAGGCTGTAGATGAAGGGGTTCAGCATAGGGGCGACTACCATGTAAATCACTGAGGTCACTGCACTCTTAGTGGGAGAAGATGACACTGATGTACCCAGATATGCTCCACTGCCTGTTCCAAAGTATAAGCAAACCACGGCCAGGTGAGAGCCACAGGTGGAGAAGGCTTTGTACTTCCCACCTGTTGATGGGATCCTCAGAATGGAGGAAACGATTTTGTAATAAGAGAAAAGGATTCCTGAGATTGGAAAAAATCCAAATAAAGCAGCACCCAAATACATGATTATATTGTTGGCAAAGGTGTCATATAAGCTAAGGTTGAGAAGTTGAGAAGGGTCACAAAAGAAGTTAAAAATTTCTACATTCCTAAAGCAGGTAAGTTTACATGCAATCACAGTATGCAGGAGGGATTCCAAAAGGCTGACTAAAACAGACATGGATACTAGGAAGCTACAGAAGCGAGGGTTCATGATGACTAAGTAACGCAGCGGGTGACAGATGGCGACAAACCGGTCATAGGCCATTACACTAAGAAGCATGTCATCCATACATCCAAAAAGGATAAAAAGAGACATCTGTGTCAGGCAGCCCACGTAGGAGATGGCTCTGCTGTGAGTTTGCATGTTCACAATCAATTTGGGGACTGTGGTGGAGGTGAAACCAATGTCAGCCAAGGACAGGTTGGAGAGGAAGAAGTACATGGGGGTGTGGAGGTGGGAGTCAGAGCTGACGGCCAGGATGATGAGCAGGTTCCCAAGGACAGTGACCAGGTACATGGACAGGAACAGTCCACATAAGATTGGCTGAGGTTCTGGATCCTCTGAGAATCCCAGAAGATGGAATTCAGAGACATCTGTGAGATTTTGTGGTTCCACGTTGCTGAGACAACTTTTACAAAAGAAAAGAGTGTTGGGAAAACAAACAAACAAAAAGAATAGGAATCCATCACTCTACATACATTTTGAAATCAAGTATTCTACAAGTAAATTATTCATATTCATATATATTCATCAGTATTTCTCACTTTTAACAAACCAAATATACTTGAATTCTTTTATTTTTATGTGCTATTCACCTCTTTATATAAATACCTACCTTAGAGGCCTTCCACTGAACAATGTTATAAGGCCAAAAATACCAGAGCCATGATCACAGTAAATTACAGTCCCTGCTTTTATATATAATTTTATATTTTTATGTGCTGCTGAGGATTTAACCCAGTGCCTCACAGTGCTAGGCAAGTGTTCTACTACTGAGCTACACCCCCAGCCCAATATCTCATTCTTCCGGGAAAAAAGAGAGACTAAGAAATATATTTTATCCTTTAAGAGAAAAAAAAAGTTATTCTAATTAAAGGAAACAGAGAAGCAGCAAGCATACATTATTCTAGGAGTGCAGCACAATTTTCCTTGACTTTGGGTGTTTGCAAACATTCTAAAGAGCTTGGATTGCATCATCTAAACATTAAGTTAAAGTTTACAGTTCAGAAAATAAAAGTGCTTCCATTAGTTCCCAGGAGTTTTTTTCATCATTCTTGGGTTTTCTGAATTCCCTCCTTGTGAATGTTAGTACTCAGTGAAATATTATTTATCTTTCAAAAATTGTTTAACATATACCTTCTAACCTTGGCTTTCATGGTCTTCAAATATAGATTTGAATTTAAATTTAAATGCATGTAATTATACAACATTGGTGACCACAAATATGACATTAGGGTACATTGTACCTACTAATGATATAAAACAATTTTTTGTAGTAGTTGGGCACAATACCTTTGTTTTATTTATTTTTATGTGGTGCTGAGGATCGAACCTAGGGCCCTACACACACTAGGCAAGCGCTCTACCACTGAGCCACAACCCCAGCCCAAAACCATAAAATCTTAAGAAACACTTTTGAATATTCTAAATTTTATCCAGGTTTTCTTCTATCAAATCAATTCAAACTCAGTAAAATATCTGGTATGGAAGATAGGTCTTTGCTTTTCAAATTGTTTTCCTTTGTATAATGTCTGGTCATGTTGTTTCATTGCTTTTCTGATTATAAAGCCTTTTATTTATAGCTGATGACTTTGAACCCAGGGAAGTTGCAATTTGAGTCTCAGCCTTCTTAGGTTTAGTCAAACTTTTTTGTTGTTTTGCTTTTGTATGTTTTTGGTACAAACATTGAACCCAGGGGCACTTTAACACTAAGCCACATCCACAGCCCTTTTTTAAGTTTTTATTTTTTGACAGGATGCCACTAAGTTGCTCAGGGCCTCACTAAATGCTGAGGCTGGCTTCAAACTTGCTATCCTCCTGCCTCAACCTTCTAAGTAGTAGAATTAGAGGTGTGCATCACAGTGCCCAGCTAGTTAATATATTTTTAAATCAATCTTTGCTGATATATGAGTTGCATTTTGTTACATTAGATACCTGAAGGAAACTTGGGCTCATTATTTTGTCAGCTCTCACTGATTAATGCTGTAATCAAGAAACAATGCAAAGGAGAAAGTTCAGGGAATCATGTGAAAAAGCACATGAAAAGTTGTGTCATCTGTAATCTGGGGAAATTAATGGCCTACTTTACATGATTTTTTAATTGTGAAAAATCTCTTAAATTATGCATCAAATATATTCAGATACTTATCAATATGTTGACCTGTGGGTATTTCAAACTATATAGATACTCTAGCCACAGAGCCAACCCTGGTTATTTATAGTCTGCATGTGAAGTTCTGCTGGATTTTTTTTTTTAAACCAAGGTTGAGAACCAGTGGCTTAGAATATTTCCTGGCATTTACAAATGATGCAATAATATTACCTGTCATTACTCTCAATAAAACTGATAACTAATTTGAAAATGCAAACATTTAATTATATTTGCTTCATTACCAATATTTTATTGAGTTTGGAATTATTACCCAATACCTTTGAGTTCTCACTCTCATTACCTGATTCCATTCTCCTGCACACCTGTCCCCAGTAGGCAATTATTGCCATGATTTAGAGGATAAAACTTCCTTTCAGAATTCTTGTGTCAGTATTGACTTAGATATCCATGAAGAGTATCTTAAAACATTTATTTACCTAAACAATCCCTGAAGCTATTCTAAGTATTGTTCAGTAGTACACTTATCGGCCCTGTAATGCAATGGTTGACATTGACATGTGATTTCCAGTCTCTTTCAAGTATGCACATTTACTTCAATTGCTTTAACTGGGCACAGCATTATCTCAAGGGAGACATCATTTAATTTTCATTTATTATTAAAACAATCCTTTCTAAATTTTTGTGCCTCAGTCCATATCATATAGGAAAGAATTTCCACATAATATATGCATGGAAGGTTAATGTTTGACTTCCAACAACTGATGCATCATCCATTTACTATTAATCACCTATATTTATTGTCCCTGTTTTTAAAAATTTTCATTATTTTCTGCATCCACTGATTTTTTTTTATTTTTAATATTTTTGGCCACAGGGATTGTACCACTGAGCCATTTCCTCAGCACTTTTTGTTTGTTTATTTAGGTGGGGGGTCTCACTATGTTGATTAGGGTCTCACTAAATTGCTGACACGGACCTTGAATTTGCTAAGTTTTTATTTTTTAATAAACATCCAACATCCTGAGCCACTGGGATTACAGGTGTGCAATACTACACCTGGCTACATCCTCTTATTCTTAAGACATACCATCAAAAACATCCCTACAGTCTATCTGGTAATAATTCTTCCATGAAAAGTCATAAAGAAATTTTATCTTGCATAGGGAATATGTTTCCATTGATACAGTGGAGGAGGGGCAGCTTGAGACAGGAGCAGTGTAATGAACATTTTATTCCCATGGCTTTGACCTGTTTCTATGAGCAGAATGTGTATAAATCTGCCCCTCTGTTGCTTATTGTACCTCATGGAAATAGGAAGAATAAAACTCAGCTCAACAACACATGTGGCACCTAAGGGAAACCTAGAAAATAACAAGTTTATTCTTTGTGGTTTCTTAATTAAAGAATTCAATCATTGTGCAAATAGTGAGTTAATAGATTAATACAGGTACTAAAGGGCACTAAGACCCTGGAATCATGTAACACTCAGTGTTTCAGCACAAGGTTTACCTTCTCTGTGAGCCTTGTTTTCTTTTTATAAACCCATAAAAATCTCTGCCATCATCTTAATTATTGAAGATGTTGTGGATGCTGCTGATTGGAATTGTAGGGCTTACATGTCCATAACACAGATATGAACATGAGCTATTTTGTCCCTGGTTCTATGAGACATTCTGTAAAGGATGAAAGTGCAGTCAGGGAATTGCCATGTGTTTTGAAGCCATAATCAGGCCATGTTTTGTGAACCAAGTCTAGCCTATTAAACATTTTAACAGAGCTTTTTTTAATGCCTCTTCTGTGCAAAGAAAGGCATAGTCTCTGTGCAATTGGAGATGAAAGAGTTAATCATTCGTCATTCTTCTCCAACATACATATGATATTCTTACATAAGAACAAAAATAAAATGTCCCTTTATAGAAATAGGAAAACATAAACCATAACTTTATGTCATGGGATACATTATTTCAATGGTATAAAGTTAACTTTAGTATTAACGATAAATATAAAATTCATTTTGATCTTATTTTATGCATTCGTCATGTGTTAATCACATAGGAAACACACCTTAACTGGATAATCCTTATTCAAAGCAGTTGCACCGCCCAGGGACAAATGTGATGACAATGCTGAATCTCAGAGACACTAACAACTTGCCCTAAGTAACAGAAGCAATAAATGCACCTGAGAACATTCACAATTAAATTGTAAGTCCCTGAATCCAATTCAGTGAACTTCTTGTTTTTCAATAATCAGAAAGTTTTGAAAAGATCCAGGATTGTAATGCATCCAAGGTATATTTTTAAGACTCACTCCAATTTTCTGAGTAGGAACAAAATAAAGACCTTAATTTGTGCCTCCTTTGAAGAATGGGTGAGTTAATTATAAAAACGGAGGAGAATATGCACAGCCACAGGAGTATCCAGGATTGAGGGCAAGACAAATACCTGCTGAATTACTCTATGTCTGCATTCTGTGGTTCTTGTGTATGATCCTAGCCGTTCTGTCTATCATTGATGTAGGAGGTGAAAACCACTTCTCTGCCCTGGGGTCTACCAGAAGCCCCCAAAGAAAAGAACACAGTGAACAAAAAGTCCATTTTCGGGCAGACAGTAGAGTGAAATGTTTAGTTGTGTGGTCAAGTGGACAACCTTTCAGGATGCTCCTAGCAAAATGCCCTGTGTCTGCAGTAAGCAAGCCTCAACCAGACTTCACTATTAGCTTCCTAACAAGTTGGCACAGGATATAAAAAAAAATGCTGTGTTCCTTCCCTTTTCTGGAGTATAATAAGAATGTGGGCACTTATACAGTGAGGAAGATCATGCAGATGAAATAAAACAAGATATATAGACCACAAATCTCCAAGCCTGTGCACATTAAGGAACCTCTCACTCAGTAATGTTTCAAGATATTATGATTGCTGTCACTTCCTTCTCATTATCATCACTTTCACATATAAATGTATGTGTTTAGCGAGATTCATTTGCTTCTCTCATGGGTGAGATGTCTCCGGGAAGTAGAACTAATGTGGAAGGAAACAAAACTTTGAATGAGATTTATGGGAAACACCCCACTAAAACCAAGAACACAAATTTCATGGATCTTATACTTGAAAATTTAAACAACAGCACCCTATCATCTGGCTGCACAATCCATCTATCATGCTTGTCCATACAATGTGGAAACAATGCTTCCCACAGCC